TAATTACTGGAGTTATTACCCTTGGTTTCATTAATGCGATGCATGCGTTCCATGATGTTGTATTGCACTCATTGATCTACCAGTTATGTTGAATGATTTCTCTTTTAATATCAATTACTCACAAATACTTCATATATTTCAATCATACAAACAACTGCTCATTCAATATGTGACGGGCGTATTATATACCGCTCGCGGTAACCTTGTTTATACAGGGTTTTGTCCAGTTTGTGATAAATTTGAATATAGGCAATGGGGTTCTGATTATGTCATTTTGTTATATAATGAGGCTAAATAGATGAGTATGTATTACTATATGTGCTGCTGGTATTCTTTTTTCACTTCCAATGGCTTGAAGAATTATATTCTCCTCTGACAGGGCCGTGGCGGGAAGGGATCCCTGTATGTGTGGGCCACAGGTAATGGTGGTATAGCTGATGACTGCTGTGGAGCTGATGGCTATGTGGGGGCAAGGGAGACCATCTCCATTGGCAGTATCAATGATCAAGGGGAGCGGCCTTGTTTTATGGAGATTTGCAGCTCAACTATGGCGACAGTCCCCAGTGGTGGTGAACCATGCAATACATTTGGCAAAAGAAATAAACCTCGGATTCGTGTGGTGAGTGGATATTATAACATGATGTGTTTTGTCCTAAATTCATTTTTTCTACAGCAACTAGTTTATAATATCTATAAATTATCTTGCAGTTTATTTAAGAAATGTCACACAGAAATCTTTTCATCACAGATGAACATCTTTTATAGATGAAGTCTTTGGTCACATACAGTACATATCATATTGGTAAAGGAATATTTTGAATTGCATGAAGAGGTAGTGCTTAAGTCTGTAAGATAAACATCTCTAGTATCTGATTAGGTAACCTGTGTCACCTCGATTATAATGTCCTAAACTTCTTTATAATTCCTCCATTATAATGTCCTAAACTTCTTCATAATTTCTCCATTATAATGTCCTAAACTTCTTCATAATTCCCCCATTATAATGTCTTAAACTTCTTCATAATTCCTCCATTATAATGTTCTAAACTTCTTCATAATTCCTCCATTATAATGTCTTAAACTTCTTCATAATTCCTCCATTATAATGTCCTAAACTTCTTCATAATTCCTCCATTATAATGTCTTAAACTTCTTCATAATTCCTCCATTATAATGTCCTAAACTTCTTCATAATTCCTCCATTATAATGTCTTAAACTTCTTCATAATTCCTCCATTATAATGTCCTAAACTTCTTCATAATTCCTCTATTATAATGTCTTAAACTTCTTCATAATTCCTCCATTATAATGTCCTAAACTTCTTCATAATTCCTCCATTATAATGTCTTAAACTTCTTCATAATTCCTCCATTATAATGTCCTAAACTTCTTCATAATTCCTCCATTATAATGTCTTAAACTTCTTCATAATTCCTCCATTATAATGTCCTAAACTTCTTCATAATTCCTCTATTATAATGTCCTAAACTTCTTCATAATTCCTCCATTATAATGTCTTAAACTTCTTGAAAGCATAACAATACATATAGCTGTTTTGGTTCAACACTTGTTTTATTTAACACTCTTTTGTTGTGTCAGGTAACAACAGACATCAATGGAGGATGTATCCTTAACTTTGAGGGCACATCAAGTGCTGCTCCAATGGCTGCTGGAGTGTTTGCTGTGGTTTTAGAAGCAAAGTAAGTACAGTCAGTGTGAAGGTCAAGTAAGTACAGTCAGTGTGAAGGTCAAGTAAGTACAGTCAGTGTGAAGGTCAAGTAAGTAAGTCAATGTGGAGGTCAAGTAAGTACAGTCTGTGTGAAGGTCAAGTAAGTACAGTCAGTGTGAAGGTCAAGTAAGTACAGTCAATGTGGAGGTCAAGTAAGTACAGTGTGTGAAGGTCAAGTAAGTACAGTCAGTGTGAAGGTCAAGTAAGTACAGTCTGTGTGGAGGTCAAGTCTTTGGTATCAGGAGCTCCATGTAGCATCATCAAAACAATGTAACAACATTTCCTGTGATTTACAATAGAAAGAATTAAGAGGGCTATTCACAACAAAATTAGCCTTATTTTCACTTAATGTCAAAGCTGAAAAAACTATAACTGCTCTTTTGATCCTCACATTAATTAAGGGGTTTTGTTCTTACAGTCCAGACCTGGGATGGAGAGACATGCTCCACATCATTGCCATCACCGCTCGTATCCCAATCCCTGAAAAGACAGGATGGCATGTCAATGACTGCGGTTACCATACCAACCATGAACTTGGCTTTGGAGTCCTGGATGTGGCCACCATGGTGGCTGTGGCTCAGACATGGGGGAATGTACCAAAGGAGAATGTGTGTCATAGTCCTCGTATTACAGTCAACATGTACGTAACACAGCTAGCAGGCATAGTCTGGCTATTTTGTTCCCTTGATATCTTGCTGTATATTTTGGTATATATACATAATGGTGACTAAATTATTCTCAACACCTCAGTAATACAATTTGGGTTATAAATCATCACACGAACATTGCTTAATTATACTCAGTTATACTTCACATGCTGGTAGTAGTCTGGGAAATAAATCTTTATACTCTCATGGCTTAATTAGTCCCCACTGGTTCCCGGGGACAGACTGTAGGTTTGGACTCAATCCATAAGTGTGTCTGTCCAAAGAAGTTGTTTAGGTCATATCCTCTGTATTCTTTCACCTGGAGTAATCAGGTTTGGTAAGCAAGTACATCTTGGGATGACATAGTGTCAAGTACTGAAAGTAGGTCATTTTTTTAAATCTTTGAAAACTTCTACTGAATTACCAAAAGGCCCAAGGTTATGATATTTGGCCAATAGGAAGCTGTGGTGAAGGGCTACAAAGTTTGTTCAAATTAATAACCTTGACCCCTTTTTGAGGTCACTGGTTACTGTGACCTGTTTATTGTGATCTTCTTTCCATATTTAATGTGTCATTCTGTTTATTATGTTAACTATTACCTCCCGTTTATTATTACCTACTTTCTATGGTTACTGTGACCTACTTTCTATTGTTACTCTGACCTGTTTATTGTGACCTACTTTCTATTGTTACTCTGACCTGTTTATTGTTACCTACTTTCTATGGTTACTGTGACCTGTTTATTGTGACCTACTTTCTATGGTTACTGTGACCTGTTTATTGTGACCTACTATTGTTTTTGTGACCTACATCCATGTATGTACACCTATTACAGGAAGATCAACAGTAACTTGTGTGTAGAAATGAAGGTTGAGATGTCCAAGTGTCAGAGTGACCCTAACCGCCGCATCAATTTCCTCGAGCATGTCATGCTTTATGCACATCTCGACCACAGCCGTCGTGGTGACATTGAAATCAAAGTAACGTCTCCCGCCGGAACCATGTCCACAATGATGTACCGCCGGCCCAGGGATGACAGTAAGGAGGGTATGGACTTCACATTCATGTCTGTCCACTTCTGGGGTGAGAGTGCCTCTGGGGAATGGACCGTTGCTGTGTGTGATAACGATGGTGGATCTGACCGCAACAATAAAGGTTTCCTACACAGGTAAGGGGAGTAATGCATAAGTAAGAGTTTGTTTGATACAACGGTAAGAGGTGTGATACATAGGTAAGGGAGGGGGTCATAGGTAAATGGTGTGATGCACAGGTAAGGGATGGGATCATAGGTAAATGGTGTGATGCACAGGTAAGGGATGGGATCACAGGTAAATGGTGTGATGCACAGGTAAGGGAGGGGGGTCATAGGTAAAGGGTGTGATGCACAGGTAAGGGATGGGATCATAGGTAAATGGTGTGATGCACAGGTAAGGGGTTGTTTGATTTAACATTTGCCTATCAAGTGATACTAGTTTGTAATAGCTTGTTTTATTGTGTAAGGGATGTGATGCACAGGTAAGGGTGTTCTTTGACATAATGTTCACCTATCTAGTGATACTAGTTTGTAATAGCTTGTTTTATTGTGTAAGGGATGTGATGCACAGGTAAGGGGGTTCTTTGACATAATGTTCACCTATCTAGTGATACTAGTTTGTAATAGCTTGTTTTCTTGTGTAAGGGATGTGATGCACAGGTAAGGGGGTTCTTTGACATAATGTTCACCTATCTAGTGATACTAGTTTGTAATAGCTTGTTATCATGTTTCAGCTTGAATATGACATTGTATGGAATGTACATGTCAAAAAAGCCGCGCAACACCCACAAACCATATGACCCACAGTACCAGGACCAATTAGCCATCATTAAGGAAGAGAAATCACTCTACCAGGAGGAAACCATAGTAAAACGCAGCGATATCCTCCACAACAAGAAACACCGCAACCTCAACAAAAAGGTGAAAGAGGATGAAGTAACAGCAGATGACTTGTCAATCCTGATCTCCAATATTGAGAAGGAGTTAAAGGAACAGAAAGTTAATAAACTCAGAAGTGAAAAGAATAAGGTCCAAGGACAAGGGCAGACAAACACACAAAAACGCATGTATACAGATAAGCATATTAATGTTTTAAAGAAACATTTTGGGGATCATGTTCAAAATAGTGAGGACGAGGAAATAGAGGAAGTTCTAGATGAAATAGAACGCATTTTTGAAAATAAAGATCAAGTAGAACGACAGGCCAATGTAGAGAGACACCTGTTTAGTAAACGTTGGACAGAAAAGCCTGTGATACAGTTGGAAGACTTATTAGAGGATATCTACAACGACAAGGTTCGAAATTAGCCAAGCTTCAATTTCTCAAAAAGAAAACCAAGTTTGAATATGAAAATTTTGAAGACAAAAATAAGGATAAAAATGTTAGCATCATTTGTACAATTTATATTTGTTCATGTTGACAGAATCAAACTCAAGTGAATGCTTTAGTCTTGAAAAACAGAAATAAAAGAGATAATTTAGTACAGCTGATACGTTCATAACATTAATTTCATTGTAACCTTCCCGACAGCACTGAGGTAACTTAGGTAGTATACATGTACCTGCTTACCATAGAGACATGTTGGAAGTAAGCAATGATTTAATAAAAGAAGTATTTATGGCAAAATGTTACTTTAAAGAACTTTTAGAGTGAACTTGGTTTTTGTGGTGAGAATTTTGGACCCGTGCAATGAACTGTCCTCTTTGGCCATGTCTGATTAGCTGTGCTAATCTGTGTCAGTGTCTGTCAAGTTCATAGACAAGCAGCATTCAATCATGGCTATGCTTTATTTTTATTTTATTTGGTAGAAGGGTTGTCTTATATGAGATTTTGTTCTATTTTCAATGTTCCTATTCATCATGGGAGAATGACCTAAGCTTTGTTCTATAGAAAGTCTATAGTTTGTGTAGTGTAACCTGCTGATACTGGCCCTGGTTTCTTAATATATCCTGCAACTAACAAAGCTATTTCCTGAATTGTTTGTTTGCTATCAACATCAGTTCTGATTTACAATTTGTTATGATTACTGTCTACAGGCATTAAAGCTGTGTGATAAAACACCTGATAAGGTTTGTCAGAGAGTTTGACACCACCATGAAATAGGTCACTGTGATTTCAGAATAAAATAGGTCACGGTGATATGAAATAGGTCACAGTGATATCATGATAAAATAGGTCACGGTGATATCATGATAAAATAGGTCACGGTGATATGAAATAGGTCACGGTAATATCATGATAAAATAGGTCACGGTGATATCATGATAAAATAGGTCACGGTGATATCATGATAAAATAGGTCACTGCCATGCTACCATGAAATAGGTCACTGACAGGCTAACAAGGTTTGTTGGATGGTCAATGGTTGTTAAATTATTTCTACTGCCATTTTTTCTATAGACTAGTCTACAAGCCGTGACCATGGGTTTTTAATAAATAGATAAAATGATTGATTGTAAAAATAGGAGACCCTACTTTGAGCATGGTTGGTTGCTTCTTTAGAACAGTATCCCTACTTTTAGTATAATTATCACTACCAATACCCACATATTGTGTAACTATTTCTATTGTCTTGTTAACCCTACTTTTAGTACAGCTATAGGTATGGTATTTCTACTTTTAGCAAGGCTATATATATAGGTCTAGACTTCTCTTCAGATATAGTAACCCTACTTTTAGCATGGATATATCTATAGGTCTAGACTTCTCTTCAGATATATGAACCCTACTTTTAGCAAGGCTATATCTATAGGTCTAGACTTCTCTTCAGATATATTAACCCTACTTTTAGCAAGGCTATATATATAGGTCTAGACTTCTCTTCAGGTATAGTATATAACCCTACTTTTAGCATGGATATATCTCCCTACTTTAAGTATGCTTGGTTCTACAGATAAGATATTTCTATTTTTAGCATGGATATATCTTAGCCCCTTTCACATTTCTGGTTCAACCATTTCAACCAGCAAAACCTGAACAGAAAACAACAGACTCGGATCTGAACTGATGCCGACCTCGGGATTATTCGGGGTATGGGAGGGTCCAGATGTGCCTGACCAAAACTAAAATACTGACTATTGCTAGTTTGCATTTTTTTTGGTATCAATTCATATGTATCATGAATGCAACCCTCAGACACAGAATTCCTACTTTTAGTATAGTTAGTGCTTCTGATATGGTATTCCTATTTTTAACATGGATATATCTGTAGACAGATCCTTACTTTTAGTATGATTGGTTCTACAGATAAGGTATCCCTATTTTTAGCACGGCTGTCTCTAGATACAGAATCTTTTGGTATATGGTTATCTTTATATGGTTTTCCTTAACTTTTAGCAGGTTATCTCCTTGGATGTGGTTTCATTATTTTCAGCAAAGTTGTCCCTTAATATGAAGTATTATGTATTGCTGCTTTTATCAATGATATCTCCAACAAAATCCAACAATAGTCAAAGTATCGCGGTAAAACGAAATATTCGGATGATAATACTCAATGGATGTTCATGTTTTAAGATGAAAAAAATTTTGATGTATATACCAAGATAATTGTATTCTTGGTTCTTAATCTTTCTGGTACACTTAACGTGTTGAATTGTTATCTATAATATATACATATAAAATTAAGATTTCTGTATAATTGATGAAAAGCAGCCTGAATTGTCATAAAACCCCACCGAACAAGCTGTGCTACATTTTCCCTACCTAGTGACAAGTCTGACACTAAACAATCCCCAGTAAAGGTATCCTCAAATTGATGGAATGATGATGCCCACAATTAAGTGGTTTGGTAATTCCTATTGACCAAAGTTCTGTGTTATAACTTCCCTTTTGTTCAGGAAGTTTTTGACCAAATGGTTTTGATAATATTATATTTGATATTTCTTTATACATTAGCTTTTATGTTCCGTGTTTTTCATCACTGATGTAATCTCTTGATTCAAAGTTTTTTATGTAATATTTACAAATATTAGACAAATGACTACAAAACACAAGGTCAAATGTCTGGTGTATTTACTTGATATTGAAATCCATTGTATGGCACTTTGCCAGGGTAATTGTGATTGGAATACATGTAACCTATGAATCTGTTTTGTTTCTAAAGAAACCCCTCATCCTGTTATGATATTTCATGTACTAGTTAATTGTGATTTTGTTAAATTTGTGAAATTCTAAAATTTGTTGATGAAATCTTTTACAATTATATAAGATATTGTTGAACAATATGAAGTTGATGATCTATTTCTGTATGTGTTTAATAATGTTACAACTGTCTTCACAAAATGATGTGAAACAACCTAGAAATGATGTGTCTTCACAAAATGTGTAAAACAACCTAGAAATGATGTGTCTTCACCAAATGATGTGCAATTGACCTATATTGATGTTATGTCTCCATCCAAAGAACAGGTGCTTCCATTAGCCCCTACATCATAAGTAAGGTTACAGTAGTTAGCTCCTACATCTACAGTTATATTACAGTAATTAGCCCCTACATCTTAAGTAAGGTTATAGTAATTAGCCCCTACATCTTAAGTAAGGGTACAGTAATTAGCTCCTACATCTTAAGTACGGTTACAGTAATTAGTACTACATCTTAAGTAAGGTTACAGTAATTAGCTCCTACATCTTAAGTAAGGTTACAGTAATTAGTCCTACATCTTAAGTAAGGTTACAGTAATTAGCCCCTACATCTACAGTAATATTACAGTAATTAGCCCCTACATCTTAAGTAAGGGTACTGTAATTAGCCCCTACATCTTAAGTAAGGTTACAGTAATTAGTCCTACATCTTAAGTAATGTTACAGTAATTAGCTCCTACATCTTAAGTAAGGTTACAGTAATTAGCTCCTACATCTTAAGTAAGGGTACAGCAATTAGCTCCTACATCTTAAGTAAGGTTACAGTAATTAGCTCCTACATCTTAAGTAAGGTTACAGTAATTAGTCCTAAATCTTAAGTAAGGTTACAGTAATTAGTCCTACATCTTAAGTAAGGTTACAGTAATTAGCCCCTACATCTACAGTAATATTACAGTAATTAGCCCCTACATCTTAAGTAAGGTTACAGTAATTAGCCCCTACATCTTAAGTAAGATTACAGTTATTAGCCCCTACATCTACAGTAATATAACAGTAATTAGCCTCTACATCTTAAGTAAGGTTACAGTAATTAGCCCCTACATCTTAAGTAAGGGTACAGTAATTAGCCCCTACATCTTAAGTAAGGGTACTGTAATTAGCCCCTACATCTTAAGTAAGGTTACAGTAATTAGACCCTACATCTTAAGTAAGGTTACAGTAATAAACCCCTACATCTTTAGTAAGGTTACAGTAATTAGCCCCTACATCTTAAGTAAGGTTACAGTAATTAGCCCCTACATCTTNTAATTAGCTCCTACATCTTAAGTAAGATTACAGTAATTAGTCCTACATCTTAAGTAAGGTTACAGTAATTAGTCCTACATCTTACGTAAGGTTACAGTAATTAGACCCTACATCTTAAGTAAGGTTACAGTAATGAGCCCCTACATCTTAAGTAAGGTTACAGTAATTAGCTCCTACATCTTAAGTAAGGTTACAGTAATTAGTCCTACATCTTAAGTAAGGTTACAGTAATTAGACCCTACATCTTAAGTAAGGTTACAGGAATTAGCCCCTACATCTTAAGTAAGATTACAGTAATTAGGCCCTACATCTTAAGTAAGGTAACAGTAATTAGCCGCTACATCTTAAGTAAGGTTACAGTAATTAGTCCTACATCTTAAGTAAGATGTAGGGGCTAATTACTGTAAGCTTACTTAAGATGTAGGGGCTAATTATTGTACCCTTACTTAAGATGTAGGGGCTAATTACAGTACCCTTACTTAAGATGTAGGGGCTAATTCCTGTAACCTTACTTAAGATGTAGGGGCTAATAACTGTAACCTTACTTAATATGTAGGGGCTAATTACTGTAACCTTCCTTAAGATGTAGGGGCTAATTACTGTGACCTTACTTAAGATGTAGGGGCTAATAACTGTAACCTTACTTAATATGTAGGGGCTAATTACTGTAACCTTCCTTAAGATGTAGGGGCTAATTACTGTGACCTTACTTAAGATGTAGGGGCTAATTCCTGTAACCTTACTTAAGATGTAGGGGCTAATAACTGTAACCTTACTTAATATGTAGGGGCTAATTACTGTAACCTTCCTTAAGATGTAGGGGCTAATTACTGTAATCTTACTTAAGATGTAGGGGATTTCTACATCTTAAGTAAGATTACAGTAATTAGCCCCTACATCTTAAGTAAGATTACAGTAATTAGCCCCTACATCTTAAGTAAGGTAACAGTAATTAGCCCCTACATCTTAAGTAAGGTTACAGTAATAAGTCCTACATCTTAAGTAAGGTTACAGTAATTTCTATGATATATTGGTCCTGTAGGACTATCAATCTCAGATTTTTAAGGGGGTGGGCCAATCAATTGAAGCACCAGGATCCAAACAGTCATATCGGAGGCATTAGGCTCAGCCGTGTTAACATGTCGTTCCATTTCTAAATCTGTCAAACATATCATTATTTTTATGCAATATTGTTGGAGTAGTTTTAATAACTTTTTCTTCTCTTGTTAAAAAATAAACTTCTTGCTACAAAATAGAATTGTCCGAGTCATATTTAGCTCATCTGGTCCGAAGGACCTTGGTGGGCTTATGCCATACCGCAGTGTCCGTCGTCCGGCTTCAACTTTTCCTTTAAAACGCTACTAGTCCAAAACGGCTAAGAAGATTTTGACTAAATTTGGTCTGGAGCATCCTTAGGCCAAGGAGACTCAATTTTGTATAAACGGTGGATGTGGCCCCCCTGGGGGCAGAAGGGCGGGTCCAAACAATGGAAATAGAGGTAAAACCTTTAAAATCCTTCTACTGTAGGGACTAAGGGATTTCTAACTTAGTCTGGAGCATCCTTGGGCCAAGGAAACACAATTTTGTATAAACAGTGGATGTAGCCCCCTTGGGGGCAGTGGGGCGGGGCCGAATAGGGGAAATAGAGGTAAAACCTTTAAAATCCTTCTTCTTCCATAGGGATTGAGGGATTTTATCCTAAATTACTCTGAAGCATCATTGGGCCAAGGGGACACAATTTTGTATAAACGATGGATGTGGCCCCCTTGGGGGCAGAGGGGCAGAGCCAAATAATGGAAACAGAGGTAAAACCTTTAAAATCCTTCTTCTACCGCAAAGATTAAAGTATTTTATCCTTATTTAGTCTGGAGCATACTTGGGTAAACGGGACTCAATTTTGTATAAACGGTGGGTGTGTGGGTGTGGCCCCCTTGGGGGCAGAGGGGCGGGGCTGAATAGGGGAAATAGAGGTAAAACGTTTAAAATCCTTCTTCTACCATAGAAATCAAAGTTTTTTTTATCCTAAATTAGTCTGGAGCATCCTTGCATCTTGGTCTTGGTGTGGCCACCCTGGGGGCAGAGGGGCGGGGCCCAATAGGGGAAACGTATAAAATTCTTCAAAATCCTTATTTTCCTGTAGGAATGACAGGATTTTGTCCAATTGCATATACATATAACCCCTGACTAACCATGTAATACATGTACACTACCAGCAACATCTAGCTATTCCAACTTCAATTTTACTAACATTTCCAGGTGAGCGATACAGGCCCTCTGGATCTCTTGTTCATAATTGTTTACTTGTGTTCTCTTTGAATTCATGGTCTTGGACTACAGTTGATCTAACAGGCAGAATCATGATTTATTCCAGTTAACTTGTGAAACCAACTTCATATTTCTCATCACTGAAAAACTTAAAAGACAGTTTTACTTTAATTGAAAGCTTTGAAAGTAGTATGCTGGTTTGCCCAAAAATTAACTGTGGTTATTATCAGAAAAAATATCACCACTGAAATATCAGTAAAGATCCATGACTGTACCCTGGTATATTCATATTTGCAAATCAAGTTAAAGAACAAACTTTTTATCTAAAAATGTATTTATTGTCAGGTTCATATGCATATATAATATAAATATTTATAATCAATATTTACAACATTACAATTCTACACAATTATAAAAAATATGAAAACAAAACATGCATTCTTTTACTAATTCATGTCAAAACATTTCAATGACATGATATATCCTATTACAACAAGACATGGACGGACAATTTAATCCTTCACAACCTCTTATCAGTAATTACCTATAACGGTAAATGCTGCTCTTCCCCAGGGTATGTGGAGTTGTTACGTGTTGGTCAGAGGAATCTCGTTAGTTCAACCAGACAGTTTTTGTGTATTGTAGACCTTACTAAACCAGTTATGTTAGTTTTCTATTTCGTTATAACACTGGTTAACTGGTCTGTATTTCGTTATAACACTGGTTAACTGGTCTGTATTTCGTTATAACACTGGTTAACTGGTCTGTATTTCGTTATAACACTGGTTAACTGGTCTGTATTTCGTTATAACACTGGTTAACTGGTCTGTATTTCGTTATAACACTGGTTAACTGGTCTGTATTTCGTTATAACACTGGTTAACTGGTCTGTATTTCGTTATAACACTGGTTAACTGGTCTGTATTTCGTTATAACACTGGTTAACTGGTCTGTATTTCAGTATAACACTGGGTAACTGGTCTGTATTTCGTTATAACACTGGGTAACTGGTCTGTACTTTGTTATAACACTGGTTAACTGGTCTGTATTTCAGCCAGTTTTTCGGATTAACAGTCTAGTTTAAAGAGGTTCCATTTTAAAGATACTGGTGATTGGCTATTCAACCCATTTACATACAATAAAATTTATCTAATCTGACTCATGAGTATTCCGACAACCTGTGTATTCTAACAACGCTGTTAAGTCTGACCAATACGTCCCACTGGGTGTTGCATTAGACAGGTTTCAGGTTTTTTTACTGGACGGTATCCCTTAAATGGAACCGAGTATGATAATATTACATAAATTATACCAATATTTACTAACTATTAGCAATTTAACCCATAATCGGAAATTCTTCTGGGATAGCTGAACAATACAAATATTTACCAAAGTCAAATAACATTTCAACCGCTACAAAGCACAGTAAACTAGACTTGTTAGGAGTTATGAATGTATGGATGAGAACGTTAACCTTGATCAGATATAAAAATACACATAAGATGATGGAATTATTATTTTTCTTTTGAAATCAACTAATCACCAGTACAGTTATGTACCACATGTTTTGAAAGATAAAGTTAAAACAGAAATCAATATATTACCTATTGTGTGTATTACACACTGACAGAGCATTACACATACCATATTCAACCTAAAAAGTGCCCTTGGTGTTGAACAACTTGGGAAAATTCGGATGACTGCAGAACCATTCAAAATTAAAAAAGAAATTGAATATGGTATAAAGATTTTTTCAAGAAAGTTGGTAAACTATGGTGAAGGAATGGGCCAGGCAAACCAGAAAATGGATAGCAGACACTTATAAGGACTGGGGTGCTTGTTAGGTTGAGTATGGTTGGCTGTATATACTGTAGTAATGTTGACCATTTTGTACCATTGACATAGTTTTACACACACTATATATATATATATATATATATATATATATATATATCTCATATGGGTCAAAGAAGTAATATAAACGGTAAAATCTGTTTCACTGTGTCTTGATAAAGGAGCGGATCGCTCAGAAAATTTGACAACCTAAACTTGTCCACACTGTTGGAATTACTTCTTTGCCCCATATATATATATCATATATATACATTGACCATTTTGGCAATGTTAGGCATTTCACTATTATCTGGTAATACAATATACCATAATTACAGCAACAGAGGGAGAAAAATCTTAGTCGACAACTACTTCATTTCTTTTTAAACAAATCTCACATTTTGATATTAAAATATAAATATCAGTATAAGTCACCTGTTATATATTAAAACTCGCCAAACCTGTGTCACTACAGGTATAACTTCCAGTCTCCTGCCACTCCTCATTCTTACCACAAAGGAACATTCCTACCACAAAGGAACATTCCTACCACAAAGGAACATTCATGTTATAATGTCAACTCATGATGGACAGCTTTGACATACAATCAATGACTCAATCATTTTTGTATGATTCTTTCATTATATGGCTACAGGCGACTGTAAAATTATATACTTTTTTTATGGGTGTAAACCTAACTTACTCAAATATTGTTTATTAAACAAAACATTTAGAAATTATGCCATCAATAATATTTGCTAATATTTGCTAATATGTGTGAGGAAATGTGACACTGATTCCAGAAATATGACCCTGTACATTTAAGTGTATGCTTAGCTATGCCTTTGCCTGATACATAGTACAAGGTCAATGTCAGATTTCAGATTCAAAATAAATCAAAACTGAAGACAATTTGTATCTATTTTAAATATCATTTGATCTATTTGTGATGACATGGCAGTGTATCTTTATATGTGAGAGGGGATGGCTGTTGAAATCACTTTTCCAAACATACAACACATTTGAGATAACTGGTAGTCTTCTTATATGGCAACACACTAGCCACCACAAGGGACACAACTCTACACACTCTAGCATATATTCTACCACAGACCCTTACACACTCCTCATTCTCACTATCACTGGGGCAAACAACTGTCATATCAGCATGGATTATCTTCTCTTCTCAAACTCCTTCCTGATCCAGGCCGAGTCTTGGTAGAACCTGGGGTCTCCTAACTTCAATGCTGTTCTTTTGTAGAAGTAGTAGTACAACACAGCACCTAGACAACATACAACATAGTCTATTATACACAAACCTGGAAATAAACATTGTCCACAACATGTATTAATATCTAGCAGATTTACATTATGCAAGTAATGTTATAGAAGAGAATTTCAAATTAAGACAAGTCCCAGACAGAACAAGGGAGAACCTACCTTATGAAACAGATTTTGGCTTCAAGTTTGGGAAAATCATTGGTAAACAAGAGTACCGCAGGGCGGAACAATATATGCCCGTTGAATGCCATATAGTGTTATATACTATCTTGCATTAAAATAAGAATTGCATCACCTTAAGAGTGGCTAGCTAGCATGCTATAAATCTTTCGATTTTCTTTAATTTTCTAACAGTTTAAGGAAAACAAGTAATCAAAAGATTAATCTCCAACTCATTAAACACAACTTGATATCATGATTATTAAGTTTACCAAGTTTCAAATAAATCTATCAAAAAATGTAGGAGATCTCAAATACTGAAATAAACAAAGGGAAATAATTTTTGCAAAAATAGTTGAATCAAAATTATTTTCAGGGAAACACAACTTCATATCGTGATTATAATGTATACCAAGTTTCGAATAGATCGGTCAAAATATGTAGGAGGAGATTGCCGGACAAAAAATCAAATACTGAAATAAACAAAGGGCAAAAACCTTTGCAAAAATTGTCGAATCAGAATCCTTTTTTGGAAACACAACTTCATATCATGATTATAATGTAAACCAAGTTTCAAAGAAATCGGGTGAAAAATGTAGGAGGAGATTGCCTGACAAACAAAAGTTTATGCCGAACGGACGACGCCATACCATAATACTCCCGTCAAATTTGAGGGGCATATAAAAACAGGGAATTGGAATTATCAAATGTAGATTTATTGCATACTATTAGAATGTTTTTTTATGCCCCACCATTTTATGGGGGGGGGGTATAAGGTCTTATCCATACCTATCCTGTCTTTGATTCATTTACATGACCCACCGACTATATATCTCAACAGATTTTCATCAAAGTTGATACAAAAGTAAAGTATGAGAATACCCCTGATGCGTTCCTGTATCAGGGACCCAAGGTTAATGCCAAGGTCAATCTTGCACTGTATAGGTCAACTATAGGGCCAAGGAGGCATTAGTGTCTTAAAAATGTTTTCTAGTTTTAAAACGTTCTGGAAAATCAAATCTACCTTTTTGGTAATTTATGATTTATATTTAATACCAAGCTGTAAAAAAAAATCAGAAAAATGATGATGAATGCTGTTGTATATTTTGAGTTCTGATAACTATAATAAATTGAAACATTTTATACCCAGTATTTTTTGTTGATGATGGTCCTACAATGTAAATGGCCTTCCCTCCCAAAAATAAGTCAGAGGGTCAACTTTGGTCTACTCGGCAGATACTATAATACATACCTGCCCTCTGTATCACAAATATGGGCAGAAAACCAGGTGTATCCCAGACATAAATGTTGGGGCTTTTCCATCTCAGGCTCTGAAATTAAAACATCATCGGTCAGCTCAAAAAATTACAACTAAAACATTATGATTTATATAGCCTTCAGATATATATTACATATACATTTGTATAGACCTCAATCAAGACTGTTTTCTCTTCGATAATTGTTAGATAACATCATTTCTCATACAAGTCGGCTTACAATGTATCACATTTTATCTTCAGTAATATAAGTACAGCTCACCATTTCCCACACATGTAGGCCTACATTGAGACCAAAGTAGATGAATGTAACACCGATCACCATCTTGAATTTGTTTATAAGAATGTTGACCAAGCCAGCCTGGAATATGTATGTGTTGAAGAAGAGAAGGAAGACTACAATCACCGCGAAGATGATACACACATCCTGTACCCTGTAACAATCAAAGACACACACATTTGTACTATAAATCACTCTCAGGTTTTCTGTATTGAACTTATATCTGAGTTTTTCTACATGCAGTTAACTTATATCTAAGGTTCAGGTTTTCTATTGTGAACTAATATGTTAGGTTTTCTATAATGAATCAATATACTATGTCTCCTGCTAAAGGATTATTGTATATTTATAGTTGATATTTTCTGTCAATGAAAATTTACTTACACAAACATCACAAGGAGAATAACATTTTCAAATCGCATCAACTCAATAAATGAGTTCATGAAGAGGTCGATGAGAAGAAGGAAGTATTGGAGGTAGAGGATGGGGCGGTACCTCTCCACCAACATGATGGTCTTTGATGTCTAATCTCTCCAGTGAAAAACAACTTCTGCAGGTCACTAAGTGGGATCCATCATTCAAAGTGTGTTGGCCTGTAGGGAATTAAGATTATTAATTGACATGATGAAATATTTTACTGATCAATTCATTCACAGCTCTCGACTCTAAACCAAGAGCATGACACCAATGTACAATATGCTGTTTGATACTCAAAGGGCAATCACTTTGTCAAAAATCTCTGAATCACAGTTCTGAATTAGAAACTACAAGTCATGACAATAGAGCATACCATTTTCTCAAGAAGATTACAGGTAAAAAACAGAAAAGACATTCAGACAACATGAAAATGCTGAAAGAAATTAAAAGCATAAATATAATGTGTGTATGTACACCCTAGGGAAAACTTCAATAACATCTTTTGAGCTTCAGATGAAATCATCAGATCTTAAACAGTAAGAACAGTCTAGCAAATTCACTGGTTGAAATTGCTTTATTTTAGGGTCCAAATTCGGGAGTCTCCCTCTTAAATAGGGAGGGTTGGCAAGTATGCATGTGCATGGCCTTGTTTTATAAAGAAATAACGCAAACTAGCAATAGTCAGCATTTTAGGTTCGGCAAGGCACATCTGGACCCCTCAATCTACATGATTATTCCTGCCGAATATTCCTGACTGTCTCAGTTCAGATCTGCACATGTCGTTTTCTTTCAGGTTCAACAAGAAAGGGGCCTGGTGGTACTCGATAAAATACACTGAGGGCAAGATCATGAGAATTGTAGTAGGACGAGAAATAGTGATAAAGATAGTGCCGTCGCTGGGCCTGAACCTGCGACCCTTGGCTCTCAAGCCTGATGCTCTACCGCTAAGCTAAATGGAAATTCCCTACAGCTGATGCTTGTAAGGCAACCTAATCAATGCACATCTTTTACACTTTTCTCCTCTTTTTCAATCACCAACCCAGGTTCTTTGACTCTCCGCCAAGGGTTCTCCTATCTTGAATGGGGAGGGTCAATGGCACCATTTTGTAGTAGGACGAGGAATATTGATAAAGATAGTGCCATCCCTTTAGCTCAGTGGTAGAGCATCGGGCTGGAGAGCCACTTAGGGTCATGGGTTCGAGCCCCAGCAAAGGCACTATCTTTATCACTGTTCCTCGTCCTACTACAGAATTATTGAATTCCTGGTTAACAATATCGTTGATGAGTTGGATGGCAAGATTTTCCAGCACACTCAGTGAATATCTTGTTAGGACAAACCATGCCTTAATTTCGCTTTGCATAATGTATGGCTTTTAAAGTTATCAAAGTTCTTATTTAGAACACTGAATATATCGTCAACACACAGGAAATCTCAACCAACGTACAAAGTTTTAATGCCATAAACAAGTACATTTCGGTACCGAAACAACTGAGTTTCGAAAGGTCTACTCCCCNCGCTATCGTTTTCATTCATTCTTTTCATCTTCTTTAAAAAAACAAAAACTTATCCCCTCTCCGAGTTTCTTTTACCGTATCTGACTCCTAGTTCTAAAACCATAAATATCTATGACAATGACAATAAAACCAACATCTGCTTCATTCTGACTGTGTTGAAACTTGTCAGACTATAGGAAAGATCTAACAGGTGCGATATTTTTCCATTTAAGTATACATATATTTTCCATGTCTGTCAATATATCTTATGTGTTGATCCACATGAGTAAAATATAAGATTATCGCATAAACGAAGTCAGAAACTTTAAATAAACTCACCACTATTTCAGTAACATCACAATCTTCCCTATTTTGGCGGCCATTACTGTTTACGATGGCTACAAAGTCTCGCGATATCACGTTGTATCTCATTTCCTTTTTATACAGTTTCTCTTTAAACTCTTGCTGACAACATTGTAACCAATGTATTTTGCAATCATAAAATATAATGGAAGCTTTTTATCCTTATCTAGGTATCTGATTTCTTTTCAAATCCTAACAATATTCTATATATTTTTAGTCACCTGACTGACAGTTCGAGAACAAACATGGAGGATTGAACGCGGGAATGTTAACGAAACTTTTGAGAGTCACGTATTAGAATGCTGCAGGTAAATTTATAGATATATATTGTGGTCCGATATCTTAATTTTAACAAGCTCCGAGAAACAACTTCATGGCGGTCGAATTTGTTTTGGGCTTTGTTGATTAGTAAATAAGAGAGCACCCAGATTACTGCCTGATTGTTTACAAACAGACATGCAAATGATGCATGTACAAAATGTAAACATTCCTAGCACGGCACATGATGGTGAGCTTTTGCCCGTCTGTATACACTGTAAAGGACGATTTATATCAACGAAATGTCAATATTTTACACCAATTTCATAACAGGTTGGGCACAACTGTGCATATGGGTAATAATCCTGCATTTGGGTAACAGTTACCCATTTCAGTGATAATTTTATGACTGAAATGGGTAATAAAGGGAAATAAAAACACACAAAGTTCTTTTACACATTATGAACAAAAAAGGGCGTCATTCTTTCAACATAATCAAATAAAAAATACAATGAGATACAATTGTGTACAAAAATATGTAAATTAAGTTGTCTAAATTTTTGTGAAAATGACAAATTGTATCAGAGTAGCTATAAAGGTTCCGGGTTGTTTTGCCCCAAATCCCGTTCGCCCTAGGTTGTTTCGCACCAGGTTGTTTCGCCCTAAAACATTTTTTTTAGGGCGAAACATTGTTTGGTATTTTCTTTTCATTTTTATTTGTTTTAAGTCACAAATTAAGACTTCTTAGTCTTTCATATCAATAAAATCAGTTTTATTTTAAAAAAAAATGTGTTTGTGTTGTTTTAAGTACATTGTAAAGCAAAAAAACGGATTACGTTATTTTCTTAACGCCGACACACATTATAACATATATTGAATTTAATTTTAGAAATAAGTAAGAATAGTGAAATGAAACAAAAATGGTGTAATTTTAAAAATTGCGGGGTATACAACAATATTATTTCCATGTTAACACATTTAAATTAGTTTAGTGTACGGCTGTACGCATACTCGTCGCCGTGTGACGATGTTTTCTTTACTTGATTTCTGCACACGTCCGTGTTGTTTTTTGCTAATTGGAGATTATGTCCATTTTGAGAAGTTTTGATAGTACCACGGAATTAGATTTAAGTCCGTGATAGTACCGACCAATAAAAATTAATATGCATATTTGAGTAGATAATTTTGAGTAGGTAACTTGTCATAAATAGAGCATTTCTCAATACTGTGTTATAATTCAACATTAGTAATGTTGAGTTATAACACAGTACTGAGAAATGCTCTATTTATAACAAGTTACAAAATGCACAAATCATCCATAACGTAATTTACGTTATGGATGATTTGTGCATTTTGTGCGACTCCGTGGTTAGACGCAGACAGCATGGTATCTGAAGTGATGTGTGTGACTGTTGGCAGCATAGAACCTGGCAGACTGACAAGTACATTATTATACAAGTATATTTATTGTATTTTGATAATTCCTTAAGTAAATTGCCAACGTTTATTTCATAATTCAAATGTACACATCTGCTTAACAATTAAAGTACGTATCTATGTACTCGGGGAATTATTTACATTTCGTATACTTCTCTAGAGAAAGTTTTTTTTTTTTTCATCCTTATACGCAATTAATATACGTATGTAGTTTCAGTCTATATACGCAATTTGTAACTAATCTATGTCCATTTCGTATACGTATCTATGTACTTAGAGAAATTAATTTAGTTTCATTATATGTCCATATCTTATCTATATATTATAGATATATATAATTAAAGTATTAATTTCTTTTCATTCTTATACGCAATTTGTACCTAATCTATGTCCATTTCGTATACGTATCTATGTACTAAGAGAAATTTGTTTTATATAAAATGGCTGACGTGACAGGGTGCTTTTTAATTGTTTATATCATGTTTTAAATTTTTTTAACGTTAAAATATATACAGGTGCATTTTATAAAGAACAACATTACTTAATTAAGGTAAAGAAATGAAAACGATAATATACAGTATATTCCGGATATTAGTATGTCCGTTGTAGGATTCGGTGATGAATATACAGGTTCGTCCTTCACCTTCCGGCACGTAATTATATCTTGATTCAAGAGAAAGATAAGTTTTTTTAACTTTTAACATGATATTTATGACTTAAAGAAAAAATTTTTTTTTAGGGCGAAACAACCTGGGGCGAACGGGATTTGGGGCGAAGCAACCCTTAGGGCGAACGGGATTTGGGGCGAAACAACCCGTTACCAGCTATAAATAGCACACATAACAATATCATGCGAGGGAAGGCAACTTCCCTCTTTGCCTTCCCTCACGCCGACAGAACACTGACTTCCGTGAGGGCGGATTCATGTAGGCGCGAAACCCGTTAACCAACCAACCAAATATCATGCTTACCTGTCACATTTGCACTGGATTAAGTCTCATTGACTTAACACACTGAAGTCAATGGAGAACAAAGTCAGTGATATGGTTTGTCCTTTTCACAAAAGTTAGATAGCAGAATTGATAAGTTTTTGTGCACAAATGTCCTTCATTGTGTTATATATTTGATTTAGTTGACAGAATGACACCCTTTTTGCTCCAAGTGTTTAAAAGAACTTCGTGTGTTTATATTTCACTTTATTCCCCATTTCAGTAATAAAATTGTTACTCAAATGGGTGACTGTTACCCAAATGCAGGATTATTACCCATATGCGACGTTGTACCCAACCTGCATAAGACGAGGAAAATTTCAGATTAAATAGAGTTATTTACAGACAGTTTTGGAACATGTGCAAGAGAGGCAAAATGCAATAGACCCAGACACAGATTCGGAACCAGGACTCCCGAGCACATCTGTAGTAGAATGCTCTAACCAAATGAAGTGACCTGGTAACCAATAGACGCCTGTCAAAGCTGTTTCCTAAACTTTCCTCGAGCTCCCTCCTTATGTAAATGTCATCACCCCTGAATTCTAGATGGACACTATTAAGCACTTAAACTAAAGCTGCTCATTGTAAGTAAGTTGCCCAGTTCTGCTTCATAATTTTATAATTTATGCTCCATCACCGATATATCACTCTTCACATATCGCATATGGTACAAAAGGGGGATGTTGTACTTCAGGTATTACTAGTGTAAGACTAAATATATAGCTAACAGGAAAGAGAATAGTGTGCTTCCACCAGGGGATCAAACCCTCAATCTCGTGGTTCATAGTCATATGCTCTACCACTGAGCTAAAGGCAAATTCCCTCTAGCATTAGAAGGCGACCGTAGTCCTATGTACAATTAAAACCTGCCACACTAGTATTTGGTAAATAAGCAACAAGCAAACTTTACTGAAGTGAATGATTTGTAACATATTCAGGAGGACATGTAAATGCAATGTACCGGACAGGGACACCAGAGCTATATACAGGCAGAAACATCAGTTTTACCGGTAGTATCAATTATCTGATCACTAGCAATCAGTCCAGACCAGATCTGCCACAGACACACATAACCTTTACTGAGAGACTTTACATGAAATTCTTTGGTAACAGAAAAACACTTCATACAAAACCAATTCAATTAAAGGAGGCTAAAAGTGTCACTGTGCTTACTGTACATGTAGAACTGCTTTGGTCATTAGTAAGAGTGCCCATCTAGTGGCTGGGTTGCTGGTTTTAAGGATGATTTGGATCAGTCTGAATCTGATCTCTTGCATTTTTCCTTTCCTCCTATACATACAGTGAGCTATCCTTGTTACCTAAAAGTACATTTGTTTATGCATCAACTTGGCAATAGGATACCAAAATCTGTGTTGTCATTGAAAAAGATGGACTCAAATATTAGCAGCAGGGCCTTGTATATTTCGCATCCTATTAGAGAGAGTAAAACCATGAATCAACACATTTAGCTGTCTATACACTTCGTTGATCAGTAAATGATCTTAAAAAGACTTTGTATTAGCTCAGGTACCCTGGGTTACCCTAGTTTTTACCTCCAACCCTTACAACTTTTATCTCACTCAAGCCCCCCTTCCCCACCAACCTTCCCTGTTTTGCCCGTCATGTTACCTGAAACACATGTACATTAACCTCATGAGGCAAAAATAAAATATATATATGTGTTTCAGGTAACATATATATTTTCTAACCTTTTCATGTTTTTACCCCAATTCCTTGCCAGTCTGGAGTAGAGGAGGAGGGGTAGAATGAAATATTCATCCCCCTCCATTTCCTTTTTTTTTTTTTTTTCCCCATTCTTTTCGATATTTTCATAACTATTGTTTTGGCTACATTTTCAGGTGGAAGTATGACAACTTGACAAATTTGTTGCCAGACACATTGAGATGGAACTTGATTGTCCACTACTACCTTATCTGGATCCAGTCAGATAATATGATGGTTCATAGTGTGACATTAGATTATCCTGCAAAACTTAATATTTAAGATAAAATATCACAAACACTCAAGATGAGTGAGTTTAAAGTACACCACCATGTCAGTGAGCTGTTGAACCTTCTCGGGTATGTATCTTCAATCAATTTCTGAATAACAAAGTTCTTAGATGAAAATAAACAAAAATGAAAATAAGTCTTTAATATTCTCTTGATCTGTTTGAAATTAAGATAGAAATTTAAAAATTAAAACCAGTTGAGAAATTTTTCATTAATCAGCTTTGATTCAATAAATGCAATGACGAAGCAACATGTTCTTTGTAGAATGCGATCAGCAGACCCAGTTGGGGCAGAGGTGTACACAGAGATGTTACTGAATAACATGAAACCCTATATAACTACACAGGTAAGATGGTTACAATATTTCTTACTACATGGTAGTTGCTAGTTCATCAGACTGAAATATCTTAATACCCAGCACAGGTGTCAGCTCATCAGTCTTTGAAATGTCGAAATGTTTTACTTTCCATCATAGGTGTCTGCCCATCAGTCAAAGAGGAAGATTGCAGGCTCCACACAGACACCCATTGAGTTCCTTGCCAAATATGATGACCTGAAGGCCAAAAAGTAAGATTTACTATTACTATCATATGAACATCTTCTATATCAGTTAAATGAAGTACTGGTATGTTACCAAATAACATATCCTGCACTTGTCTTTTCCATCTTCAGATTTTTGACTTGCCGCCACGAAGTGGAAGCGAGACTTAGGTGTCGTTTTCCAGCGGCAGCGTGAACATTATTTTTTTGCGTTTAAGTTTGTTTCATTGAAAGTATAAGTGCTAGACCAACCAAACTTGGAGCATAGATGCATCTTAGGTAGTACATCTTAACCCATGCATCAAATGCTGGATGCAGCCTACATTTCATGGTCCATTGACTTCGTCAGCATCTTCATCAACATTAATTTTTTTTGCTTTTAAGTTAGTTCTCTGATATGTGCATTGATGGTCAAAGCAGGACATAGGCGAGACATATTAATGCGAATGGCTTGTTTACTTAATAAATGAGGTAAAATCCAACATAAACATATTTTCATTTGGCACAAATTCCATCCAATAATTGATGAACGGTTGATATTGAAGTTCTGATAATCAATCTTAAATATTTAACTGATTCCCAGGACTAGTGACCAAGTGATCAGTATTTGCTGCCAAGGTGTATATATGTGTGACGTATTAAAAGAAAATCTGTATTTGTGCTTTGCAGTGTGCGAGACCTTGATCCTCTGGTGTTCCTTCTGTCCAAGCTAACAGAGGAAGAACAGGTATTAAAGAAGATTTTGTTTGACACATGAAGATAATGTTTAAGATGATGTTGAAGCAGAATTAACAATAATTTCAATCCTGTTTTGAGGGACTGTCTCTCCATCTACTTTTACATGTATCTAGAGATTGATTGATATAGGAGATTGTCTCTGTAAGGAGAGATCAATTGAATTGGCCGTCAAATGAAGCCTGAAATGTTCGGTTTGAATTCTTCCCAAAATTTCATGTCATTTTAATACAAAAAAAACTACTTGTAGAAAACTTATTGTAATTGCAGAAAACAGATTTTATTTATAGTAATGACAATCCAGACCCCTGTTATCACTACCAGATAAAAACTACTTATAAATTGCTATACATGTAGATATATTAAACATTATCATACCAGGTAATAACAAGAAGAATCCATAGACAAATTTTACATAGAACAAGCATTTATAAATCAGCATATTTGATTGTTAGTTGGGAAGTTACCAAACTGAGTATTGAATGAAATGAATATATATACCCTTAGGCCTTTGTCCGTACAGATTGTATAATAGATTGACGGATAATGGTTTCTTTAAAATCAAACACATTACAATACAGAACATATATCAGTGTCTTATAAACAAAGACAAATAAGCAAAAAACAATAGTATGCAGCCATTTTCTTTTCTTTAAGTTTATTAGTTTATCATGAACATAGAGTTTTCTTGTTTGAAGAGGTGAACCTGAAATCAAATTTACATTGAATACAGAAACAAACAAAAATATACTGTAATCCATTACTTTATAGCTAATTTTCATCTTTACAACATTTCAGACAAAAGAGTTTATAGAAAAGCATGCCAAGGACAAGGCTGAGGTGGCAGGCATGACGCTTGTTCCTCACGATCGAGTCACATCACAGTTACCCGCCCCTGGTACCAAATTGTCTGTACAAGAATTGTCTGAGGTAAGTATACTACAGTCATCAGAAGGAACCTGTTACCAAAAGTCTTTTTATTCCCGTTATGTTATAAAATTTATTCAATTCTTTTGTTTTATTTTAAGATGTAACATATTTTCCACAGATTCGAGACAAGTTACTGAAGGAAGCAAAATCTGCACCTGCCACAACGTCCTCAGAGATCCTAACAAAAGCTCTTCGTGAAAAACAGCTTAAACGCAATGGCAAGTTTTTACGCATGACAGAATAAATGATTTGCTACTAGGTTTGTTCTAAAGTTGAACAATGAATGGAGGTCAGAGGTAAACTGATACATTGAGGAGGTCAGAGGTTAACTGATACATTGAGGAGGTCAGAGGTAAACTGATACATTGAGGAAGTCAGAAGTAAACTGATACATTGAGGAGGTCAGAGGTAAACTGATACATTGATGAAGGCAGAGGTAAACTGATACATTGAGGAGGTCAGAGGTAAACTGATACATTGAGGAGGTCAGACGTAATCTGATACATTGAGGAGGTCAGAGGTAAACTGATGCATTGAGGAGCTCAGAGGTAAACTGATACATTGAGGAGCTCAGAGGTGAACTGATACATTGAGGAGCTCAGAGGAAAACTGATGCATTGAGGAGGTCAGAGGTTAGCTGATACATTGAGGAGCTCAGAGGTAAACTGATACATTGAGGAGGTCAAAGGTAAACTGATACATAGATGAAGTCAGAGGTAAACTGAAGCATTGAGGAGGTCAGAGGCAAACTGATACATTGAGCAGGTCAGAGGTAAACTGAATCATTGAAGCCGTCAGAGTTAAGCTGATACATGGATGAAGTCAGAGGTAAACCGATACATTGAGGAAGTCAGAGGTAAACTGATCCATTGATGAAGTCAGAGGGAAACTGAATCATTGAAGAGGTCAGAGTTAAGCTGATCCATTGATGAAGTCAGAGGGAAACTGAATCATTGAAGAGGTCAGAGGTAAACTGGTACATTGAGGAGGTCATAGGTAAACTGATACACTGAGGAGGTCGGAGGTAAACTGATACGTTGAGGAGCTCAGAGGGAAACTGAATCATTGAAGCCGTCAGAGTTAAGCTGATCCATTGATGAAGTCAGAGGGAAACTGATACATGGAGGAGGTCAGAGGTTAGCTGATACATTGAGGAGGTCAGAGGTAAACTGATACATTGAGGAGGTCAGAGGTAAACTGATGCATTGAGGAGGTCAGAGGTAAACTGATACATTGAGGAGCTCAGAGGTAAACTGATACATTGAGGAGGTCAGAGGTTAGCTGATACATTGAGGAGCTCAGAGGTAAACTGATACATTGAGGAGCTCAGAGGTAAACTGATACATTGAGGTGGTCAGAGGTAAAACGGTGAATTGAGGAGGTAAATGCCTGAAAGATTTATTGAGAAAGGGTTTTTACCTCGCTGTGTTGTTTTTGTCCTACAAAGTCTTGCTGAAGTAATCATTTAATAGTTACAAACCAAAGTCAATATTTTGAACTTGTATTTGGTGGATTCTGGATGTTCTGTTTCTGCTGCTATTAAGATTTAATCTTATTCTTTGTGTTTTTAGTAAATATTCCTCACCAACCAGACTGGCTATTCCAGCGACCTTCACTTACACTGGACTTCATTGTTGGTGTTGATGAACCAACAGATCAGGTACTTAATAATACAATTGGGCCTGTAGATTGGGCCTGTATCTTTAAACACATCATACCACTTGTGAGCTCTTGGCTACGCCTTGCATATCATGCTTACAGAAATTACAAGCTTTTAACATTGTAAGTGATATGGCAACTTCAATATGCTAAGTAATTTGTTACAAGTATATCAACATCGGATGATTTTGGACAAATTCTGTGCCCATTACACAAATGCAATTTTTGTAAAAAGGAAAATATTAGTAAAATAGACAATACCATGTTTTTTTTCTGCTGTATATATTTCCATATGTAATCTAGTTATATTATCTACAGAACATTGTACCCCTGGGCAGCCTGCCTCTAGCACTACAGGAACACTCCATCATAGAAGACATTCTCTGCTGTATGCAGGTAACTCACCAAGTATTAAGATCAACTGTGTATATCAACCAGTTTCTTCATCCTTCGCTATTCAAAGAAAATGGGATCATTAATTTGTGTGTCTTTTCATTTATCTGTCACACTTAGTTCTTATTCCTCAACCTAACAATGGTCAGACTTCAGTAAAATTTGGTGATGGATGCATTTTTATCCATAATTAATGATTAGTTAATTCTGTTTCATTAATTGATTTATGTGCAATTACTGCCCTAAAACGGTTCTATTTCAACCAAATTTGGTATGAGCATACATAATGGCAAGTTTCAGGCCAGAATTTTTCACCCCTGAAAACACAATTTAACTCCTCCAATTCAAAGGTTGGAATAGTTAATCATGAAATTTCAGGGGTGAATGAGTTAGTGCTTTTAATAGTCAGTGAGGGTTCTCGATTGTCAATTGTGGTTTCCATTCAATACATTACCTAGTTATGGTTAAATTTAAACCAAGTTTTGTATGCATATTCCTATTGACCAAATTTTGTATGCACATTAAAGTTGGAAAGTCCTGTGCTATGATTGTCTACTTCAGACCTCAGAGATCAGCAGTCGACTTTTGCTATACTATTGTCATGTAAGTGGGGAATATAAGTTCCATTAATTTGCTTGGTTAAAAAAGAATTGAAGTTGATATCTGTGTATTAATGTTACTAGTTGACTGAGTAATGATGTATGATGTTTTGTTTGTGAACAGGGTATTGAGGGGAAGTACATCCTTGCCAGAGCTCTGACAGAGAGATACGCACCAAAGGAGTTCATGATCGACCAAAGTCTTGGCAAGTAACATTTTACGTCAGCATATTTACATTTCATAGTGCATCTCTTTACACAACATTAGTAAATACAGATAGTAATAATATACTTAAAGCTGTAAATACCATTGGTCACCATCCTTGATTTATGATGTAAAGATAACATCATTTGACATTGGTTGTCACACTATCCAGCCACCACTAATCTTGTTGTTGCTGTTGTTGTTGAGACCGATTGGCCAGTTGTCCTAGTCATCCAGCTGTCACATTAGCCAAATTTTAAAACTCTGAATGAGGGTGGCTGGATATCAATATTGTTTTCAACTGTTATCAGGTTATTGATAAAAAATTATGAATAACATCTGATAGGCAGATATATATATATAATGACATTCTATAATCACAATTTGGCATCAATTCAGTCATTGAAATGATAAACAAATGATAAGTTTGATGTCTTATGATAAATATGGTTGTGATTTGTGTTACAGATCCATCTCTACAGGAACTGGTGCGACGTCAACTACCACTGTGTTCCAACTACTCCACAGTTGTACGCTTTATAGAAGGTACAGCCTCGTCTTCTGTCATACAGCCACAGTGTAGTGTTCTTTATAGAATGTATCGTCTTCTGTCATACAGCTACAATGTAGTGTTCTTTATAGAATGTATCGTCTTCTGTCATACAGCCACAGTGTAGTGTTCTTTATAGAATGTATCGTCTTCTGTCATACAGCCACAGTGTAGTGTTCTTTATAGAATGTATCGTCTTCTGTCATACAGCCACAGTGTAGTGTTCTTTATAGAATGTATCGTCTTCTGTCATACAGCCACAGTGTAGTGTTCTTTATAGAATGTATCGTCTTCTGTCATACAGCCACAGTGTAGTGTTCTTTATAGAATGTATCGTCTTCTGTCATACAGCCACAGTGTAGTGTTCTTTATAGAATGTATCGTCTTCTGTCATACAGCCACAGTGTAGTGTTCTTTATAGAATGTATCGTCTTCTGTCATACAGCCACAGTGTAGTGTTCTTTATAGAATGTATCGTCTTCTGTCATACAGCCACAGTGTAGTGTTCTTTATAGAATGTATCGTCTTCTGTCATACAGCCACAGTGTAGTGTTCTTTATAGAATGTATCGTCTTCTGTCATACAGCCACAGTGTAGTGTTCTTTATAGAATGTATCGTCTTCTGTCATACAGCCACAGTGTAGTGTTCTTTATAGAATGTATCGTCTTCTGTCATACAGCCACAGTGTAGTGTTCTTTATAGAATGTATCGTCTTCTGTCATACAGCCACAGTGTAGTGTTCTTTATAGAATGTATCGTCTTCTGTCATACAGCCACAGTGTAGTGTTCTTTATAGAATGTATCGTCTTCTGTCATACAGCCACAGTGTAGTGTTCTTTATAGAATGTATCGTCTTCTGTCATACAGCCACAGTGTAGTGTTCTTTATAGAATGTATCGTCTTCTGTCATACAGCCACAGTGTAGTGTTCTTTATAGAATGTATCGTCTTCTGTCATACAGCCACAGTGTAGTGTTCTTTATAGAATGTATCGTCTTCTGTCATACAGCCACAGTGTAGTGTTCTTTATAGAATGTATCGTCTTCTGTCATACAGCCACAGTGTAGTGTTCTTTATAGAATGTATCGTCTTCTGTCATACAGCCACAGTGTAGTGTTCTTTATAGAATGTATCGTCTTCTGTCATACAGCCACAGTGTAGTGTTCTTTATAGAATGTATCGTCTTCTGTCATACAGCCACAGTGTAGTGTTCTTTATAGAATGTATCGTCTTCTGTCATACAGCCACAGTGTAGTGTTCTTTATAGAATGTATCGTCTTCTGTCATACAGCCACAGTGTAGTGTTCTTTATAGAATGTATCGTCTTCTGTCATACAGCCACAGTGTAGTGTTCTTTATAGAATGTATCGTCTTCTGTCATACAGCCACAGTGTAGTGTTCTTTATAGAATGTATCGTCTTCTGTCATACAGCCACAGTGTAGTGTTCTTTATAGAATGTATCGTCTTCTGTCATACAGCCACAGTGTAGTGTTCTTTATAGAATGTATCGTCTTCTGTCATACAGCCACAGTGTAGTGTTCTTTATAGAATGTATCGTCTTCTGTCATACAGCCACAGTGTAGTGTTCTTTATAGAATGTATCGTCTTCTGTCATACAGCCACAGTGTAGTGTTCTTTATAGAATGTATCGTCTTCTGTCATACAGCCACAGTGTAGTGTTCTTTATAGAATGTATCGTCTTCTGTCATACAGCCACAGTGTAGTGTTCTTTATAGAATGTATCGTCTTCTGTCATACAGCCACAGTGTAGTGTTCTTTATAGAATGTATCGTCTTCTGTCATACAGCCACAGTGTAGTGTTCTTTATAGAATGTATCGTCTTCTGTCATACAGCCACAGTGTAGTGTTCTTTATAGAATGTATCGTCTTCTGTCATACAGCCACAGTGTAGTGTTCTTTATAGAATGTATCGTCTTCTGTCATACAGCCACAGTGTAGTGTTCTTTATAGAATGTATCGTCTTCTGTCATACAGCCACAGTGTAGTGTTCTTTATAGAATGTATCGTCTTCTGTCATACAGCCACAGTGTAGTGTTCTTTATAGAATGTATCGTCTTCTGTCATACAGCCACAGTGTAGTGTTCTTTATAGAATGTATCGTCTTCTGTCATACAGCCACAGTGTAGTGTTCTTTATAGAATGTATCGTCTTCTGTCATACAGCCACAGTGTAGTGTTCTTTATAGAATGTATCGTCTTCTGTCATACAGCCACAGTGTAGTGTTCTTTATAGAATGTATCGTCTTCTGTCATACAGCCACAGTGTAGTGTTCTTTATAGAATGTATCGTCTTCTGTCATACAGCCACAGTGTAGTGTTCTTTATAGAATGTATCGTCTTCTGTCATACAGCCACAGTGTAGTGTTCTTTATAGAATGTATCGTCTTCTGTCATACAGCCACAGTGTAGTGTTCTTTATAGAATGTATCGTCTTCTGTCATACAGCCACAGTGTAGTGTTCTTTATAGAATGTATCGTCTTCTGTCATACAGCCACAGTGTAGTGTTCTTTATAGAATGTATCGTCTTCTGTCATACAGCCACAGTGTAGTGTTCTTTATAGAATGTATCGTCTTCTGTCATACAGCTACAATGTATTGTTCTTTATAGAATGTATCGTCTTCTATCATACAGCCACAGTGTAATGTTCTTTATAGAATGTATCGTCTTCTGTCATACAGCCACAGTGTAGTGTTCTTTAAAAAATGTTGCCCACAGTCAACTGTTATCAATTGTTTTGTGTAATTTTTAGAAAATACAGTTCCAAGTCATCCACCTACTAGGTAACTACTAGGAAATATTTACTTGGTGTCACTCTCATAAATAACATACACAGACACATGTTTTGATTACATCATTTTACCTCGTCTCATTTCAACTAATTGGATGTAACGTAAGGATCAGATGGTAGACCAAGTCATCACGGCTATGAGTTTTCTGCTTTTATGTGGTCTGCTGATATATCACATTGGTTTATGATGGGTGTAGAACTAGTCATCATGTGTTCTGTGGGGTTTTTTTAACAGAGAAATCAGCATTTGAGTACGGACTTGTGAACCAAGCCTTGAGTGCAGCCATGCGTACACTTATAAAAGTAAGTACCATTTCTCCTAACACATTCGTAGCAGGTTGTTGTGAATCATTTTGTACCACTACCATATCATGAATAGGTTGTAGCATATGTCTATTGGAAATAAAGATTATTTTCATTTGATTCTGTTTAATCTGCTTAAGTTTTCATTTTAAATGTTTCAAATATGTGAAAAGATAAAAAAAAATGTTGTATGCCTCCCTTAGTGTAGGGAATTGTTATATTAGTGATATGTCTGTTACATGAATATATGGTATATTAATGAGAGGTCTGATACAGGAGTACTTGTTATATTTCTACTTCTACCATATAGTGACCACCTGCAACTAATTGAAGATTTTGTCATGAAATTGGGTTTATACAGCACAAATGACAAACTATATATATATTACACAATAATTAATAATTATCTACTTAGTTATTCGGAGGAAAAGGTAACAGATTGAAGAAAAGTTGAAGGATAAGAAGGGTCTGTTTTTTTACTGGCAGATACAGTCTGAGCTAGTGACTGGGATGATCCCAACAATTTGATTATTGATGAGGTGTCTGCTACAGGATTAATTGGTATATTAATGAGGGGTCTGCTACAGGATTAATTGCTATATTAATTAGGGGTCTGCTACAGGATTAATTGATATATTAATGAGGGGTCTGCTACAGGATTAATTGCACAGGATTAATTGGTATATTAATGAGAGGTCTGTTACAGGATTAATTGGTTTATTAATGAGAGGTCTGTTACAGGATTAATTAGTATATTAATGAGAGGTCTTTTACAGGATTAATTGGTATATTAATGAGAGGTCTGTTACAGGATTAATTGGTATATAAATGAGAGGTCTGTTACAGTATTAATTGGTATATAAATGAGAGGTCTGTTACAGGATTAATTGGTATATAAATGAGAGGTCTGTTACAGGATTAATTGGTATATAAATGAGTTTTCTGTTACAGGATTACATGATACTGGTGGCCCAGCTGGAGCACCAAAACAGACTGGTGAGTATACTTATTTGCTCTGCAAACTTTATCAAATTTCTGCTTGTGTTTAACTCATCTTTATGTTCAAAGATAAATTAAATGAAACAATGAAACAAAATTCAAAGTACTATCCTACTGACTGGTTACGATGTAGACAACATATTCCTCACTTGCCGTGCTGTTATACGTAACTGGTATTATTTGTTTGAACAATTAGTAGCATAGCTAGGATTGATTTAAACATTTATTTTTTTCTAAAATGTTGATGATACTGGGTGCTGAGTGAATGTGTTGTTTATTGTAGGGAAATCTCACCCTACAGAAGGTGTGGTTTTACATTCAGCCTACGATGAGGACGTTGGAAATCTTGGCAGCTGTGGCCAACTCAGTCAACAGGGTAGGTTTGACATGTTGGTCGCAGTTTTACCTCCTACTACAGTTATGTTTCTGTCAGAGTAGTCAGGTTTTCTCTGACCATTTCGTTTATATATTTATGTATTATGTAACATTCCCACAGACAAGATGACAGTCTATCATATATATAGAGATTAAGGTAATGTGATCAATGTTAAGCTATTTGAACAATATATTTTGCCGAAATAAATTTATGAATTTTGTTCAAATTGCTCTAAACCTTTCAGCAATACACTGTAAGAACTGATGAATTAAAAAATAAATGTTACTAGCCATGTTAAGGAAATAAAAATATCTTTGAAAATAAAAACATAAAACATTTCAATTTATTTTTATTTGCTTAGTTAAAGAAGGAAAAAATCATTACATAGGGGAAATTATTAAGCGATATATCATAATTACCAATATCATAATAAGTGGGTTCCACTGTAATGAAAAAATAGGGCACTTGGGTGGATCTGAACCAAAGTTTAGCTTCCTCATATCAAGTCTGACGCATTTACCACTACACCAAGAATCCTGCTAATGAGGTGCTAGAAAAAGTAATGTATTTATCCTTGTTTCCAGCCTACTATAATGCTCATTCTGGGTACAGTCTAGTGGAGTAATTTGAGAAAGAATATTTTATTACGGATCAGATCTTTATGCCAATATCCTATGTAAAAATTAACCTTGTCTGTGTCTGAAATATTTTGTTTACAAGTTTACAAGGCATGACCACTTACTGCTGTGTGTTGTGTTACAGGGGGAGTGTATAGGAGGTGTGGTCTTGAGTCTGCTCCACGAAAAAACCTCAGGCTTGATAGGGTGAGTTTCAAAGTTAACAGGTAGCTGCAATTTTCAAGATTAAATTTGAAATAAAAACATAATCAAGAATTGCTAAGTATGTAGTCTCAAGTAAAGATAAGTATTGAATATACAATTAGAAATATTGCTGAGAAATGTGGGTTGATCATGAATTACATTTGGCTGTTATGTTTGTCATACAGGTTGATATAAATGTTAGATATAACGTTGTGTTTGTTTACAGAGATTCCAAGGGCCAGGAGCTGTGTCTGTACCTCACCCAGTCGGTAAGTAACACCACACCACTGATTTCTGTGTACCTCACCCAGTCTGTAAGTAATATCACACCACTGATTTCTGTGTACCTCACCCAGTCTGTAAGTAACACCACACCACTCCTTTCTGTGTCACTAGTGGCTGCTATTTCTGTGTACCTCACCCAGTCTGTAAGTAACACCACACCACTCCTTTCTGTGTACCTCACCCAGTCTGTAAGTAACACCACACCACTCATTTCTGTGTACCTCACCCAGTCTGTAAGTAACACCACACCACTCCTTTCTGTGTACCTCACCCAGTCTGTAAGTAATACCACACCACTCATTTCTGTGTACCTCACCCAGTCTGTAAGTAATACCACACCACTCCTTTCTGTGTACCTCACCCAGTCTGTAAGTAATACCACACCACTCCTTTCTGTGTACCTCACCCAGTCTGTAAGTAATACCACACCACTCCTTTCTGTGTACCTCACCCAGTCTGTAAGTAATACCACACCACTCCTTTCTGTGTACCTCACCCAGTCTGTAAGTAATACCACACCACTCCTTTCTGTGTACCTCACCCAGTCTGTAAGTAATACCACACCACTCCTTTCTGTGTACCTCACCCAGTCTGTAAGTAATACCACACCACTCCTTTCTGTGTACCTCACCCAGTCTGTAAGTAATACCACACCACTCCTTTCTGTGTACCTCACCCAGTCTGTAAGTAATACCACACCACTCCTTTCTGTGTACCTCACCCAGTCTGTAAGTAACACCACACCACTGATTTCTGTGTACCTCACCCAGTCGGTAAGTAACACCACACCACTCCTTTCTGTGTACCTCACCCAGTCTGTAAGTAACACCACACCACTCATTTCTGTGTACCTCACCCAGTCTGTAAGTAATACCACACCACTCAGTTCTGTGTCACTACACTGTTGATAAAATATTTTCTCTTGACAGGCCTGTGTTCCTTACTTTGAAATCCTGGAAAAATGGATCTACAAGGGGATCATATCAGACCCTTACTCTGAGGTTAGTAAATATGTTCAGATAAGCTCTGAAGTTAACTGACTAGGAATCACTGTAAACCTAAAGATCTTTTTGACTGTTCTGTGATAGATATCTTAATGTTGATGCTGGAACATGTAAACTGGACTTTTCCTTATATATTTGAAGTCTGCTTACCTTGTCCAGTACAATAAGAGATACCTGTTTTGTGTGTTAGTTCCTGGTTACCTTGTCCTGTACAATAAGAGGTACCTGTTTTGTGTTAGTTCCTGGTTACCTTGTCCAGTACAATAAGAGATACCTGTTTTGTGTGTTAGTTCCTGGTTACCTTGTCCTGTACAATAAGAGATACCTGTTTTGTGTTAGTTCCTGGTTACCTTGTCCAGTACAATAAGAGATACCTGTTTTGTGTGTTAGTTCCTGGTTACCTTGTCCAGTACAATAAGAGGTACCTGTTTTGTGTGTTAGTTCCTGGTTACCTTGTCCAGTACAATAAGAGGTACCTGTTTTGTGTGTTAGTTCCTGGTTACCTTGTCCAGTACAATAAGAGGTACCTGTTTTGTGTGTTAGTTCCTGGTTACCTTGTCCAGTACAATAAGAGGTACCTGTTTTGTGTGTTAGTTCCTGGTTACCTTGTCCAGTACAATAAGAGGTACCTGTTTTGTGTGTTAGTTCCTGGTTACCTTGTCCAGTACAATAAGAGGTACCTGTTTTGTGTGTTAGTTCCTGGTTACCTTGTCCAGTACAATAAGAGGTACCTGTTTTGTGTGTTAGTTCCTGGTTACCTTGTCCAGTACAATAAGAGATACCTGTTTTGTGTGTTAGTTCCTGGTTACCTTGTCCTGTACAATAAGAGATACCTGTTTTGTGTGTTAGTTCCTGGTTACCTTGTCCAGTACAATAAGAGATACCTGTTTTGTGTGTTAGTTCCTGGTTACCTTGTCCTGTACAATAAGAGATACCTGTTTTGTGTGTTAGTTCCTGGTTACCTTGTCCAGTACAATAAGAGATACTTGTTGTGTGTTAGTTCCTGGTTACCTTGTCCTGTACAATAAGAGATACCTGTTTTGTGTGTTAGTTCCTGGTTACCTTGTCCAGTCCAATAAGAGGTACCTGTTGTGTGTTTGTTCCTGGTTACCTTGTCCAGTCCAATAAGAGATACTTGTTGTGTGTTAGTTCCTGGTTACCTTGTCCAGTACAATAAGAGGTACCTGTTTTGTGTGTTAGTTCCTGGTTACCTTGTCCTATACAATAAGAGATACCTGTTTTGTGTGTTTGTTCCTGGTTACCTTGTCCAGTACAATAAGAGATACTTGTTGTGTGTTAGTTCCTGGTTACCTTGTCC